AAATTCAATTCAATACTCACAGGTTTATGTGCATTCACATAAACGTTTCGATAAATAATGTTAACTGAACATTGAAAATCGGGATTTTACGTTTTCGAAAATACTCTGACGAAACACAGAGAAAGAGGAAAATAACTTGAACTGCTGTGTTTCATAACATGATTCCTACTTCCGAAATACATATACTTTTCACAGTCTTCATTAAAGTGATTCCCACAAAAATTATCTTTTTTTCCATCTGTTTTACAACACTGTGCGGCACTCGTTATGCACGAAATATGTTTATCAGTTCAAAGCGCGCCATCGATAATATTGGCAATTATATCGGCGCATCGGCGCCTCGCACGTGACCACTTTCAAGTTCAGCGCCGCAGGAAGGCCCCACTGCTGGCATAATCGCTCCAAGAGACAGTCCGCAAGGGGGCGAGAGAAAGGCGGGAGAAAGAGTTCTTATCTAAGGGGGAGGTGTGCCCAGACAGGTGAGCTCACCCAACGTGGCCCATGTCAAGGACAGTTCTCTTATGCAGGGCAACGATCCATTCTCAAGTTCAAACGGAGGATTGCGCAGAAAGTTACGGGCAAGTTGCACAAGCGTTGGGAAACTTTTGTTACATTCAGTTCAGGTTATGCAGTTCTAAGGAAATTATAGCATAAATGGAAACGCAATACATCTTAAGCAGTTAAAAATAAACTGCTTTCAGTTAGACCACTAGCAAAGAATAAGGTAAATTAAAAATAGAACGGTTACAAACAAATTATTAACAACCTCCTCATCCAAAGCTTTCCCGAATTTTTACCCCCACAAAACTCATTATTCTATCTATCCCGTATCCCATCAGTCAAACCCTAACCCCCACTGTAAACAATCAGCTTCGGTGAATGTGCAAAAAAAAAAACAAAAACGAATTTTTCACTTGCTATATTTCACAATATTGAATTGTTGCTGTGGCTGGTGTCAGTGTCTGCCATATTTTATTTATTTATTGATCACTTGATTTATGTGAAAATTCTCTTGGTATTTTTAACATTTGCTGATGAGTCTTCTATTTCTATATTTGCCCCAAGGCATATAAATACACCTGTCGGCGGTACAATCGATACTTTTTGAGTGTATTTCATAAAATGGGATTAAATGGAATTTAAACTGCCAAAACGATTCCTATTTTGGTCTGTGTGGCTTTCATTTGAAGTGAGCCGATTGCAGTGCATGGGCGGAGAGTTGAAAGGGGGTGGGCGCCATTTCAAATCAACTATGACACTGAGCTCGAAAAAAACTGGCGCCATCAGAGTGCGATAAACGAAAATTGACATTATTTAACCACAGTTAATTGTTTATGGATACTGTACGGTGATATTTGCCCCTTTTGGCTCTAAGAATATTTTCCAGTGCACAAGTGCGAGGGACCCGAACAAACAGAGAAGCAAGTGGTATTTCAAACGGAAGTGCCGCCCCTAGCGTCTTCGGCCGGCTCCTCCAGCTTGGGCACTGGCGCCCACCTCGGCGCCCGCTCCAATGCCCGCGGCCATCCCGGCTCCGGGTCCGTCCTGGGCGGCATCGGCCGCTCCGCCGCCATGGGCTCCAATTTGTCCACCGCCCCCCGCCGCCGCGCCAACGCCCCCTTGGGCGGCACCCATGGCCTCGGGTTGACCCGGGACTTGGGCCTCAGCGATGCACTAATTGAAAAGGGGTGTGGTTAATGTGCAGTAAATCACTGGGTAGGTAACCCAAGGGGTTCAGGGCTTATCATTTTTTTAGTAATTAAAAAACGGTGATACTTCTACTATAAAATCGATGTTCAATGAAAAAATACAATTTTAATATCACCCTAAAACTAATATCTTAGCTAATGAACAATATGTTATTAAATTTGTCTTCCTTCAGAAATTTAAAAATATTTTTAACATTTAAGCTCAACTCATACCCACATTCTTTATAGAACATCGAATTTTTAAGTTTTCTTGACATTTATTATTAGATTAATTTCAAATTATTTAAGCAAATAAAAATATTCTTATTTAATAAACTTCACCCTAATAAACCCTTTTTCCCTGGGAATTCATCCATGCTGATTTAAAATCTCACCACTAGCATGGCCAAAGCAATCCAGGATATTATCGCGACTCTCATTGTTAAGGGAACTCCTCGAATGCAGGTTGAAATAAACTATAGATGGTTTCCATCAAACCCTATCGCTTTTTATACTAACCATAGTGCCAAGCAAATCAAATCTCGTGAGAAGCGCATACTTTGCGTTATCCAAACACAAATCTTGGGCTGCCTGGGGGCGATAAGATCTACGGAAACACGACTGGGTTGTGGGGCATCTATTATATATTATTAATAAATTGTATTGTTGACAATCGCTAATTGCTCCCGTGCCCCGTGCATGCTTCTAGCGTGAGTCTATTAATAAATAACTAAATAATTAACCAACCAGTTCATTCCAGTCAACCGAACAGCGGAATGATGACATTGCGACCAATATAGTTGTTATTGCGGGAAAATTATTGAGTAATTGTGCAAAGTACAAGGTCAATATTAAACAAAAGCGAAATCAAAACAACAAAATGTAACCGCAATTCGAAGAAAACAAAGTTAAAGTACTATCAATAATAACATATTTTGTATGCTTTTAAAAGTTTTATCTTACTATTTGGCGTCATCAAATGTTGAGAAATATTTGTATATATTATATTTAAAATTTCATTGAAGTTCGCTTAACTTTTTCAATTCAGACAAAGCCGTGTACATTTTAATAAAATACTCTGACTTAAGTATTAAAATTAACATTCCTTTAACACTTTCTTTGCTAAATGAATATCACTTTTTAAAGTATATTTAAAGTAATAGACATGTATATTCCTGCTGCATTTTCTGACAGGCTTTTCAACCTCCAATTATCCAGCACGAATAAATGCAACAATGATAAACAAAACAATTACATTAAACAATCGCAGACACACACGCATACATCAATATGTAATTACAAATTCAATGATTTTTAGAGTTAATTTGTTTATTTGCCATGCTGAAGCCCGCCGGAGCTATCATTAAAATTTAAACAAAAATAAATAAATAAGTAAGCCGTTTGCCAATTTGCAAAATGCAAGTGCATTGAGCAAAAAAAATGCTGCCCACCAAAACAACATTCAGTATTTTATACAGGCAACCCATATAAACGAACATATATGAACATCGTTTGTCATTGTTATTTGCTCATCTGTGGGTGGCCGCAGTAATGGGCAATATTCCCGATTATCACGTACCTCAATCCGAAAAAAATACACACACAACAATGGTTGTGGCATCATTAAAAATTAAATCAAAATTAAATGTTCATCAAATGCAATAAAAGCGATTGCGCATGCGATTTTTATACACCTTGTTGTGGTTTATACATGTGCGTTTCGTTTTATTATTTATTTTTCTCGGGATTACCCTTTTCACCCTGCAGTCGTTATGAGAAAGTTCATTTGAGGACTCCATAACCGTTTTCGGCTCTTTTATGGAACAAACAAATTTATGGTTTTGTTTTCTCGAATTGATGTGGGATAAAAAGCGTATTTATTTTTAAATAATCAATCTATTCGTAAACAAATTGGCAAGTAAAAACCAGTATGTCTAACTGGTGAAATACCATTTTTAGTACGAAAATACAGGCCATTTACCATTTTTAAAGCTGTATACTTGTTCCTTAAAAAATGTAATGAAATCATATGTAGTTGGTCATTTCTGCGATTCAACCATATTTATATGGAAAACGATGCTTGGTGGTATTTTCCATGAATTTCTTGGTGTATTTTTTTGTAATAATTGAAATTGAAATTACTCATGCCCCGAAGGCCGGCGAATATCGCTTAATCGCCTACGGTGCCACCCCGTATCATAGTATCATATCAAGCGTATCATGCTTATTTTGCGGTTTATTTTCTGAGAAATTTTTGACGCGTACGCGTGACATATTTTCTGGAGGCGCCGCCGATAAGGCGCTTCAGACGACAGCAATAACAAACCGAAAGCCAAACAAAAACACCGAGGAAACTGAAACAGAAACAAAAACAACGACAAACTGCAAGACAACAATCCCACAGATATAGATTATACGAACTGACAGTTGTCGTAGGTATACCAGTATACCAGCCGCCGCCGCCACTTTGGCATTCAAAGCATCATCATCGGCGTCCCTGGAAATCGTAAGTCCCCGCCAATCCAAGTATTTGCCTTCAGTGCGTCTCGTCGACGCAATCTTCGATGTAAATAATTACAACGAATTCGAATAAAACGCAAATTCTGACTAATAAAGACGAAGCTTAACCCATTTTCAAGGAAACAAAAAAGAGTGGGGGAACTATTCAACGGAAACAATATTTTACAGTGGTTTTTTATGTGACGAATAGAATTTTCATATTATCAATTATATCAAACGAAATATGTACATATGTATAGGGAGTTATGCAGATAGACTTCATTTAAATTATGTTATAATGTATTATTATAAAATATTATTAGGAGTTACAATTATTTTCAGAGTAAGTGGGTTAATTGAAAGATAAAAAGGTATATTTCCCTCTCGATGGGGATTTTTGCGTGGGCCGGTGAATTTCGCAAGAAAAACTGCATTCCCTTCACTGACAATCGATATTGTATGATTTATGGACTGGTCCTTGGGCCTCAATGAAGGTCGGGGCTGGACTGTGGGGCATGGGCCACAGCCCACGCTCGTCCAGACGGATAATTAAGTTGCTGGCCCTCTGAATACTTGAATACACTTGTTATCAGCAGAATTTCGCTTGTGGGCGCATTAATTGCCCCTGCCAAACGCAGAAAGGAGGGAGTAATGTGCATTTTGTGTTTATAAAGCGTAAAATGAAATTATCATCGCACACATATTCAATTATCCTGTAATGAAGTGCGGCTGAGGAGGCGGGGCATCGACCTCTTTATCCCCAAAGAGACGAGCCAGCTGTCTGGGGTCAATTTGATGTCGCAGGCCACTTACCACTTGGTTATTAGACGACGAGATCAATGAACTCGGCTTCCACGGAATAAATCTCGTTATAAAAATGCAGGTTCTTCACTATTTGACTGTTTGATTAGATTAACGCTCTGGCTAACTACTAGGGCTTTAATAATAATGCTAAATAATAGTTTTACGATAAAGCAACAAACGAAGGTTCTTTATTACTATTCTTATTACTTTTATTTTTGCACTATTCTCTTGAACACAATTGTATTATCGATAATTTAACTCTCTCTTACACACACACACGTGCACAGGGCTGTTGGTATTGGTGAACTCAGATGGCCAAATCGCAAAAACGAAATGCTGACAAATATGTTTAAATATTGAATGTTTGACCAAACTACCATACACAACTAACTCCCCGAACGTTCATCCACACTTTTCACCACTTTTTGATTACTGCGAGGATCAAATTAGCGCTTAAAATAAAGATTTTCTTGGATGACGAAATAAACTTGCGAACGCGATATCGATTTTCGATAAATTTCTCATTCCATCCTTTCTCACCTCCCAACTAGCTGAGTGCTACACAACCCACGTGGGTGGTCCGGGTCCACGAAAAAAAGCTGAATGCTGCAGGATCGTTTAAAATTCAAAATGAGTTTGTAAACAAACAAATTTGTTTTACTTGCAATAGTAACTAATTTGCACTGTCATCATTATCCGTCGATTCAAGAATTCCGCTTAATTATTTTGTACTTTGCTCGTCGTTCGATTTGTTTTATATTTTTAGCTTCAACCACTCTTCTGTTTGTTTATTTCTGGCGGACGATTTTATGAACGCTGCGAATTCCATGTAAGACGAAATTAACCCGAAGTGTTAACGACTTGTTACGTGTAAAAATATTTGCTGAAAATAAATAAAGCAGAACTTTCATTGCTGGAAATACCATTTAACAAAAAGCTGAAGTAAAGTTAAAACTTCTCAGATAAATTAGCAACGTTTTTTGCGTCTGGGATTTTGTAAAAAAAGTGTTGCAGCTCTTTACAAAAACAACATTTAACTGGGCTTCATCATATTAAAACGTTTTTATATTAAATGTGACATCAAAATAGACCTCAAAAAGTTTAAGGGTTAGGTTAGGTTTTGAATACATTTTTTTGTAACTTGAGAATTTTCAGTGTACCGGCAGCGGGTCGGCAGAGAGGAAAGCCCTATATTCACGAGTTAAGACCTTAGTAATCCACTCCTAATAAACCTACTTATTAAATAATTATTATTATAAATTATTTAAATTAAAAAAATATATTTAAAAAAAGAATTAAACAATTTTTTTTTTTGATTTACATAAATTTATTGTCTGACTATGCATACATAATACACCTCATAAAATTAGCAGTAATAATAGTATCAAGTGTGCCGGCAGTGTGTCAGCATAGGGTCGGCGGAGAAAAATCTACTTACCAATAATAGATCGCGCTCACACTTTAATTTGATAGTTTGTAGAGGGCAACCCCTCTAAACGAATGGGGAACATGACGAACATGTCGATTCTGCAATGTGATTGCATAAGGCGCCGGTCGTCGGTCAGTTCAGTCGGTCAGGCCCCCTTCCCCTCGATCGGTCCCTAGTCCCAGACCCTTTTCCCCAGCTCGTCTGCCCTGTCTAGACGCTTTTAATTTGCGTAATCAAAACACAAAGAGCCACGGCGACTGACAATGAGAACAGAGCCGAAACCAAAACAGAAACAAAATATTTCGCCCTAACACGGTGGCGAATAAAAACAAAAAACCAAAATCCGTCAGCAGAACAACAATAACATTTCGTATAAATAATGCAGAAAGAACAGTGCTCAACTCAAGTACGACAACAACACAATTACAAATTAAAATGTGTGATAAATGCCATGAACAAGAAAAACTAAAAAACTTGAAAAGAGTGTCAACCCTGGCGCCCATTTTCTGTCTCGCTCGCACGCCCTCTTTCTTAACCCAATTGCAAGCATTAATTTCAAAATAGAACGGAATTTTGAATCATTTAGTGGGTTATGTGATCGGAGAAGGTGCAGTTATATCCGACACTATATGCAAAGGGGTCGCGAAATGCTATCAAAATATGAAATGCAAATTTTTGGCATTGGAGAAAGAACAAACGGATACCAGTGCTTCTGATTCTTTTAGTTTTATAGTCTTTGAAAGTGAAATTTATACATTCTAGCTCTAACCTTGGATCCTAAGCACTTCGTCTAGCTGCAATTAAGCTTTACTGACCGCTTAGTTCAAAAACCCCATTTTAAAACCCGATTCTTAAATGCAAAACAATTATTTATACCCAAGTCCAAGAACATTCATCTATCCCAGAAAAATTCAAATTATCCATGGCCTTGACCGTAAGCCACGGTTCTAAAACCCCATTTCGGGTTCAAGGAACTCCTTTTGCCTTGTCTAATTATCATTTTAAGTGGCCATATAACAAATGCGATGATTAACTTGTACCAAATAAAACTGAGCTTATCTAAAAATAGCCCACTTTAGACGGTGTTTTTGGGGCAAAGACCAGGTAACGGTTCACCTCAGCGTAATTATCTCATATTATATATATTTGTACATTCGGAGCACAAAAACTGGACTCAAAAACCTGCGCCAAAGCGATTATCATATATCAACTGTCGCTCGTCTGCGTCTGCATTCGTTGTATAAGAGGCTAGACTGTAAAAGAAACCGCCGATGGATTGTATTTCAGTGATGGATTGCATTCCGGGGGTTTTGTGAGTTCAGGTGCAAAAGTAGGTGCAAATAAGGCCAAAAACGTGCCAATTGTCATGTTGCATCATACAAATTTAGCCAAAGTCACCAAAGAAGTGAAGAAGTCACCAAAGGCTTTCTAACCTTCTCTTAGAAATTGTATCAACTGGATTTAGATAAGTTTTTTTAAAATAAAATATAATGATAAAATATGAATCAGAAATAATGGCATTTACTTTTCTTTAATAAAATGCTTGTTCGAAGTTTATGTAGTTTTCAAAACTATATAGGACCATCTTATATTTAATAGAACGTAATCTACTTTATAAAAGAGAATACTTTTGAAATCGGTAGATCAACAAAAATTGGAAAATGAGTAAGTAATTAAAAATATTATTCTGTTATAAATTCGTTGTGAATAATAAATCCTATCTAAAATTATTTTGTTATCAGTTCCCCTACTTAATTTGTGTTTTAATAAAAACGAAAACAACATGTTACTTAGTTAAAATAATTGTTGTTAGGTTTTTCCGATTTTAAAAATGCACTCATTAGTGTTCGTTCTATTTTTACCCGTATCGCTGTAATATTCTCGGAACGGTCTCACAAGCTGACGCCTGCAATTCGTCATCTGTGTATGTAAGTCGCAAATTTACGACGTCACGATATCGCAATGGAGTCCATAGTTTCGAGATGGGGCTCTCCATATCCATAATATAATGGTGGCCTCATTAGGCGCCGAGAAGAAGCAGAAGAACGTGTTTATTATTCCCCGATTTGTTTTGGTTGCCTCGTTTGTTTGTGTTTTGCATCGAGTCGCGCTTTACTCGTATCTTCGTGTGCCATCTGTAAATGTATCTTCATGCATATATGTATCTGCATCTTGCACCTTGGCACGAATCGCAGTCAACAATATAGTTAACTTCATTAACAAGTGCACTACGAACTGTTGGCGCTGATATTTCAGTTCGTTTTTGGGGGCTTTGGAGCCGGATTCGCCTCGAATTTGGAACATTTATCTTGCCGGCTGGTAATTTGCATGCAAATCCATAATGAGCGCGAAGGTCGAACTCATATCTGCTATTTGGAATCTGCCAAACACATTCGCCTCGTATGTCAAAAGTTATTTGTTTCAAAATCAACGTCCTTACACGCATTTATCAAAATGTTTCTCGCCGTTAATTTATGCGACTCGTTGCGAGGCTGCAGCAATTCCGATTTGTGAATGAAAATTCGCAGATACATGTCCAATTTATTTAAGAGTGAATAAATATCGCAATTAACATGTCTTTAATTAGCCCAGAGTTGATTTATGCCACACCATTGTCGAGTTGCACGAATTATTTTTAAACGCGATTCTTTGGAACATTTTTAAAATAAATTCTCAACGCCATTTGAGCCAGATGAATGTGCCGCAGAGAAATGTGTGTTTATACGTATGCTTAATCGAATGTATTAATATTCGCAAATATGCGGATCGCTCGGTATCGGATTGCACTTGACAGCCAGATGAATGTATTAATGCCAGACGTGAGAATAATTTCGCTTAACTGGGAATCAGATTTACGGTGACGATGGAATTTAACAGTTCAATGAGTTGTTGATTTCCAGCACAAAACTTGAGAATTGTACAAAAGAGAATACTCAGTTATTTATTAAGTTGCTGACCTAATCAGATAAATCCGCAGGTAAAAGACCCTTGTACTTTTTAACCAGTGGTTAAAGGCCAATCTTGTGGGCATAGAATTCATTACTTGCCGACTCTCTGCAGCCACACGAACAGTGTACTGCATCGTTCGCTGAGCAAATCAATTATACAAACTTTCCTATCCGCAGAGGAAGCCATCTTAAACTATTTAACCGGTCCTCTGCCGCCACATACACAGTATGTAAGGGGTGACCACTGATTTAGACAGTAAAGTACCAAGGTACGGCGTGCATCTGATAGAGAGTACAGATGCCCACGAAACGAACAGAAACCAAATGGAATCTCGTACATCTGGTTATATTCTCCCCCCGTGAGTCAGCCTCTTGGAATGGGACTGGGATGGGTTGGGCTGGGCCGACAATCCATGGCCCCAACTGTTAATTGCAAAATCAAATTGAGCTGCCAAAATGTTCTCGGCAAAGAAGATTACCTCATCGAAAAGTGGCGGCAGTCATCAGCGTCTCCCAAAATGGCAATGAGCGAATGTTTCCTGGAAGAACGAATGGGCCACACATCGCGACTGTGACTCTCGACTCTCCTCCGGCTAATTACACGCAAACGCATTTTAATTTTCATAAAAATAATCAAAACATGTGCCGCACACATAACTCTCGCTCTCACTTCCTCTGGCACTAGATAAATTAACTGACTGAGAAACAATTGAACCGCAATAACAAATGTTCGATTCTGATAAATGAATTCCGCGAATCTGTCGAGGCCAACATCTACGAAATTCGCAATCTCAAATGTAAAAATAGCTCGGGCAAGTTAAAACTTAATTTCAACAGCAAACAAAACAAACCAAACAAATTATAACGCATAACGATCCAAACGGAGATCAACAAACGACCCGATCACCCCAGCCCCTTTCTTTGAATACTCGTTTCGAAAACAAATACAAATTGACGTCAATCGATTATGATAATGTTCAAAGTGCAAGCCAAGCAGTCGGCGAAAAATCTTTTAAATAAATTAAATATGTACGTGCGAGCGAGGAAACTATTTTTATGATTGAATGGCAGGGAATAGAGAGATACCGCAGTGCACTGAACCCTGAAACAACCTTCAAGGTTTAAGTCCCTAGATTAATGAATCTATATCAATTACTTTGATTGCTGAGACTACCTGATTAAATATAGAAACTACACAGAAAGGTTGAAAACGGTAAAGTCATGCTGAATCGTTTAGTCTAATAAAGAAACTAAACATACAAGTATGTAAACTACCAAAAATAATGTGTAACTATAATCTGAGGATTTATTATATCCGCGAATGGGGGTTACGATCCCTCGGGATTGTTGCAAAACTAAATCCAATGAAAATATTTGTAAACTTTTTCCAAGTTCTACCATATGGTTTGACAATGGCTCGTAATTGATACGAAATATCAGCAAATAAGACCTGAACAAATATGAATTCCAAAAACGGCTAGAATTATCGCATCCGTTATGGTACCGATATTTGTATGGTACGTAACGTAAACAACTAGTTTTACTCAGAACATAACCGCAATGCAATTGTCGTGCAGTCCGATAAGTCGACACCAGATATCTGATATATGAGTATTTACACCGAATGTTGATAAACACCCAGTGTAAACTGCTCCCTTGAACGATTCGGGGAATAACCGCATAACCGCATGTCAAGTGGATATATCCGTCGATTTGATTTAACACATCCCTGGAATAAAAGAGCTTTCTTTGATAGGCTCGTATATTTATGTCTGTCCACCCAATAAATCAACCCACAGCCAAAACTATGAAACTTACAACATTGAAAATGTGTAAACATATTTTAAATGGAGCAAATTAATTTGAAACAGTTTTTATTCATAAATATAATTAAATTTGTATTTGGTTCGGCACATTATAAAAGAGACCTAATTATCATTTTCCTTGCAAGCACCAAGGTTTCTAGTCCATGATCAAGTTTTAAATGCATATGTACATAAATCAGAAATGGTTCACTCATTAAACCGCACCAAAACGCTATATATTCCATATGGGAAGGGAGTGATCGACGTGCGAACCTTGTGCTGATGAAATTCGCGCCACCCCAGCGCTCATTTCCCATACGCCCCGTTGTCCACGCGACTTAATTGAGTCGCTGCGAGTCGTATTAAAATGTTAATGTGGCTTGGCCCAAAGTCAGCGAAATATTAACAGCCAGCAGTCTGAAGTCAGTCAGGTAATTATGCCTCCATTGACCTCTGAACATGACATTCCCCCTGCCCCCTGCCCCTCTGTGAGCTCATCTAAAGTGCACTTAGCCAAATGCAAATGCAAAAGTATACCTACAGAACGGCAGAAAAACGGAAAAGTCCAGAAAAGTAATTAAATGTCAGACGCAGCAGAGCTAGCGACTAAATGAGCCGCACGAGGCTAGCAAAAATTAATAAAAACTGAACTAAAATAAAAAATATAATAAAAACAGGGAGGCAAAAGTTATTGCTTGGCACTCGCTCAGGTTTGGTCATTAAACGAACAGCAAACAAATAACTATATACAAGTATGTATAAAACACATTCCCATAATAAATGCAGTTCGCTTTCCGGGGATCGGGGACAGCCTTGGTCGTTGCCCATTCGCGTAGCAAAAATAAATTGGTAATAAAATGTGAAAAATAGCGTCGTTTAAAATATTTGAATGACTTAAATAAATGCAAAATAAATAAATAAAATTATAATGCGGAGTAGGCTTTTTCACCCCTCGAAGGCCAGGAGTCATATATGGATTGGGGGCAATAATTCATAGTAATTCGTTTAATATGATTTACAAAAGATAAATAAGAAATGTTTTCTGAAAGGGGCCGATAGATTGTGGAGTGAGGATGTGGCTTTGAAAGGGTTGAGTGTGAGGTCACCCAAAGAAAGCGCTCTTCAAATGCACTTAAAGAAATAAATACTACTCTAAACAGCTTATTTGTATTAAAACAACATTTTTTCAGTACACTTTTCTAAGCCACATTACCCAAATCAACCCTTTTACTTTATTTTTTATTTTTTATCTTCGGAAGTCCTCGCCGCCTGAATACATATTTTTGTGTCCGCCATCTATTTGCTTTTATTCGAATTTATTTATATTTGCTGGCTGAGTTTTTACGGCTCTGTGGGAGTCTCCCTCCCTTGAATTTCGCACATCTTGTTGTCCTTCCCAATAAATTGTAAGTAATAAACTGGCAATTGGTTTGGCGCGGCTCGAAAGTATTTTTTGTTCGGACTTTTACTTCCTTGGAATCAGGGGAAAGCCAAGCCATGTCTGGCTCTGTCTGCGACTCTGGCAGCAGTCGCAGGACGGGGATTCCCCGTTTGACACTCGACTTTGGGTGGCTTGAACCCGACTTATCGACATATACATGTTGTGACAGCTTTTATGGCGTGTTAACAAGGACATGATCTGCTTGTTGCAACAGACGCGCCACAATCCCGGCTGAAGCTGCAGAAAGGAGGCAATGAACGACTTATAGATACCGTGGTACCTAAAATAAGGATATGCATTTTAAATCGAAAAGCGAAAAACTATAAGAACACTTTTAAGTGATTTTGGTGGTTTTAAGCCCAATACAATTTTGGTTTTGAAAAAAAATCACATCAAAAATCAAATCAATCAAATCATTGATTATAATCAAAACATACAACAGCGTCTCCTTTTGAAAAATTTTTAAAACAATTTCAAAATGTAAACATGCAAATCTCCTCTGCCTTCCACGGTATCATGTATCTTCACATGATATCCTTGCTTTCAGTTTTTATGGCTCTTAGCGCCCAGATCCCCTCTTCGGTGTCCTGGAGAACAACTGTTAAGCAAAGTTCCCCATAAAATACAATTTTCTATGGACGAAAAATGTAAATCATGTTGGACACAGTCAAGTCCTAGCACATCGTTGCTGATTATGTGTCGAATGAAACTTGTGCTGCAGAGTTCCCAAGGTTCAGCTCGGAAGTCTGGGAATGGAGATGACCATGTCAGAGCCCCAACTTGTCCATCGATGAGTCAAGACAATTTATTAAGTGCAACATGAAATGGAATGGTAAAAATAGCTTGAGTTTCAAGGTTTGATTGTTTGTTATAAGAAAGGATTATTCCATGGGTTTTTAAACCATTTAACCATTTAAAACAAAATTTTCAGCCTGATTCAGGGCCAAAAGAATTATTTATACTTTACTTGATCCATTTACTTAACTCCTCCTGCCCTTACACTTCTACTCGCACCCCACACCCACTCACTTGAATTCCCTTGACTTTACAAACCGGATTCAATAACAAATGATTTCCTTTTTGGCCGCAATCCTCATTGATTTTTCGCCTTGGTGAAAACTCTTTTCCGAGTCGTGGCTGCTCATTTTGCCAAATGAAAAACGCTGGAAAAGGCTTTTCGTTGGGCAGCAGCCAAGAGCAAGTGGCCTGCCGTTGATCCTTTTTAGCAGGACTCGGATTCGGATTCCCCCGAAACAAAAAGCGAAACAAATGCTCGACAAATGAAATAAAATGTGTGAATCTCAGGGGTGGCGAAAGGGGGCGACATGTGATTGCATGTCGCAATGGCAATCGCAATTGTAAACCCCCAACTTCCTGGCACCAGGCGAAAATGTCGTTCAAGGATTTGTTGTGGAAAATTTCTTATGAAATCGAAACAATTTGCAATAATGTATCTTGTGTCAATGCACGCGTAGACGTGGACCCAGTGCCCCAGGACCCCCAGGACCCCCAGGACCCCCTGGCCACGGGTTACTGGCTGCTGGTTACTGGTTACTCTAGGGAATTACATTGCTATAATATAAGCCCGGAGCTGAGTGGTTCGCCCAGCGTCTTGGGCTATTTTGTTGCACGCAATGTCAACATCATGACTGCAATTCAATTTCCTCTTTTCGACGGCTGCTGACAGGGGCCAAAGGGCCAAGGGCTAAAGGGCTGTGGCTTTCCCTGTTTACCAAAGTCATTGGCAGCGGGCGGCCAGTTGGTAGCAGTCCATGCGGCGATGTGGCTAGAATCACTTATATTAAAAACTCAATGCCAACGAGGACAACGATGAACGGATCTTTGTGGATATTAAACGCTGATCTGCCATAAAACAACACAAAATAAGACTTACGGATATTGGTATTTCAATTGACAACAAAATTCCTGAAGAACTCGCTGCTTAAACAAGGATATTAGAATTTAGATTTGTAATTAGTTCTATTGAAGATTTGAAGACTATGGTGGAGAAAATTCATTGGGCTGCAAGCAGACAACAATATTCCTTATGAATTCGCAACCAATATTTGATGAGCTTGATCTTACGACCCATAAAATTCCATAAAATCAATATAAATTGTAATTTCTTTTTTATTAGTTTCACATTCCATTTCCAACAGAAAGAGGCCTACGGGCCAACGGTTGACCCACTTTATGCCTGAGTTGTCCAATAAGGTGACCAGACAGTCGACAACTTACAGGCCTCCTTGGTCTGTCATCAAGTTCCCTCTAACCGCCCAACCCCTCCGACTGCCATACTTTTGTTTTGGCGTCTACAGCAAAATCCACTTTGCAAAAGACATCAAATGGCCTTGAACCATTTGGCAATTAAAGCGCAACCGTCGACGCCTTGAATGCAGCCAAACAGGCAGGAGAAAACCAAAATCATTTGGCTATTTCTCGAGAAACATTTTTCCACGTCGCGATATTTAAAAATTCGTTCATCAAAATTTTCCGTCATATTTTGCAGTTTTTTTTAGCAGGAATTTCGACGTGTGGGCGTGTCGCATTGTAAAGCATCTGCAATAAATAAAAATAGTATGGCCCAGACATGGGTTAATTATATTTTTCGGCACAAATAAATTTATTTTGCCTTTCAATAATTTGGCACTTTTAGAGGTAATTAAAATCTTTTTGGAAATTCGGCAACGCTAATGCACTAAAGCAAAAACTACGAGTGCTTTATTATGGAAAAATATGAATAAGTTGAACCGTTGTCAGTATTAAAATTAAATTTCATGCTGGTTGTATGGATGCACCGAAATTTTAAACAGATTTGTGTTATTAGTTCATTTTAGATTTTTTATTAACTTGGAAAATATGAATATTTTCAAGTTAAATTTCAGTACTTACAATTCATATTTTTAGTTGCCCATTTTACCATTTTCTATTTATCAATATCCATTACAGAGGTTGACGCCTTCAGGTGGTGGAAATATCTTTGCAGATAGAGGCCCAACTTATGCCTAAAGCAATAAATTAAGGCAATTAGTCAAAGGTTATTATAGCCCCCTTTTAGTTGTCTCTCACTATTGCCTCCACTGCCAGGTCTTTTCCGCTGCAGCATCTCCTTCATCATCGTCATTATCATCATCGGCACACATTTTAAACGTAATTGTAGCAATTTAGACATCTCCCAGCTTCCCATCCCCATCCCCATCAGCCCTATTATCACCTTTGGCACGGGAATGGAAGTGGGAGTTTCGGAAGGAATGCCAGCAGACTCTTGCCTTCAGACGCATACGCATAAAATTTTAATGAGATTGTTAGCGGCATAAAATATATGTATATATATGCCGAAAGAAAAGGGAAAGAGGTCTCCGTCTGCCCCGCCATCTATCAACCCTTAGAGCTAGAGTAAAAAAGGGAGTTCAGCCTCAACCCCGGAAGAGCGAAAGACAAAGAATCAGGCGTCGAGTGAAAAACTCCACAATTATAATATTCAAATGCGTGGAGTCACACCAGCAAACACGGCACAACCACCCCACCAATCCACTTCATTTTCCCCCCGGAAACTCTAGTTTGTTGGAAAATTTAAATGCAATTTTAAACATGCCATAAAATCGCTTTTAGGGTCTCCCATAAAAACTCAGAAGCAGTCGGCAGCCTCAACAGATAAAACGAAGGGCAGGACGCACCGCAGAAAATTGAAGTTGGACTTTAAGTACACCACCCGGCCACGCCCCCCGACGCCCCCGCACTCAGCGCAACACTTAATTAGGGCGTGGCAGATTTAGCTGATTTGATAAAAGATTTACAACCTTCAGCTCAACTCGCGGGGCATATGGGTCGTATAAGAACGTTTTAGACGGCTCGATGGAGTCGCTTTGGGTCGTAGTCGTATAATGGAAATAATCATAATCGTAAGACGAACAGCTTGCTGCCATAATGAGGAACTAAATGAAAACGAAGATGGTTCGGTAGTTAATTTTCCACAATGTAATGGAAAATTGTCAGTTGTAAATCACCAAGTAAGGAAAAGATAGATGTGCCATAAATCATTTTAAACTTTAACCAACATCACTTAGTTCCGCAATATTTAACTTAAATTTATAAATTTATCTAGTAGAATTTCCAAAATAAATCATTTACCTCTACCATCGAATCTGTTTTGTGAATTTCCCTTTTTCTCTCCTATCAATCAACATTAAATTTATTTAACTTTCATGTTTCCGCTATCGATTCGTTGAATTCCAAATACCCCAACGATCACTTTCAGTGTAAATTCCACAAAAAACACAAACATTTGACCTAATCGAAAGTGGAAGCCCAGACGAGTGAAATACGATCTCCGCCTCCCCGAAAAAGCCCACCTCCTCACTCACCTAGAGAACACGATAATGGTGTCAACTGGAAAATGCCCAGTCATACTTACACTGCGCCTCAAACCAACTCAGTAAAAGTCACGTGCATTTGAAATGTTTGCCTTCGGCGGCGACAAATGTCACGTGGACATTAGGTTAAGCTGTTGGCCCCCCGCCAGACCCTCGTAGGTGTAAAATCAATTAAATACGAAATTCAACAACAGCGGAACAGGGAAAAGTGATTTATGCCTCACTAGCAGCCCACTTTCCTCCCACCCCTCGGAAAATCTATTTACGGGTAATTGTCGAAACGGAACTTATCATGTGGGGGAAAAGAGGGGTAATCGCAAGAGGTACACTTGAAGAAAATTAAAAGAGGATTTAGAAGTAAAAGCAGGCAAGCTTCTTATTATCGGTGTATCATATACTTGTTAGGCCACATAAATTATTAAAATCTTTAAATAAACCATTATACATTATAAAACAGGAAAAATACCAAAATATTGTTTTCTTTATCTTTTATTATTTAATAAATAATAATGTTTCGAGTGTGAAAGGAATGGGTTGAAAACAGGAGGCATGCTGAGTAAGAGAAAGGTAGTGTTTAGGTGTCAGTCAGCTTCGGTGACTGCACAATAAAATTGAAAATTTATTTATGACCCAAATAGCATAGAGGGACTTTTAATGAGCATTACACGACATTGAGAATAAAAAACAAGAGGAATGTGGGTGGGGAACAATGATTTATACGCGTAAAGAGAAAAGAGTGATGAATTGATAGCCTTGAAAAGGTAAAGGTACAAATAATATTATAAAATCTGTTAACTTACTTCTGTAACGCAATCAATTTATGACTAGTTTTAAAAAATATGTTCATCTGGTTAGTATTGCTACCAGACAAAACAAAAGTAAATCCGCTATATAGGTACTTATCACTCCTGTTTGCTTGTGCTAAAACTCCACGTACTTCATAAAATTAGCAAGAGGGGTAAATCTTGTCATGTTTTTGGATCAACTGAACATCAAAATGTACGACAATTGGTTCTCCTCCAACTCCTTTTGGTGGCAGTACCTGTCCCAACGAAGCCAAGACAACCAAATAAGAAGTAACAACAATTTCCATTACCAATCCCGTTACCATTTCCATTTGCTCTCTTTATCGATGATTCTGATTGTGCTATTAAAGTTAACTACCCGAAACAAAACCGAACTCGACTGAACGGATTTTCAACACGTTTTTCCCATGGCCATCCAAGTCATCCAACCTACGCCCACGCCCACGCCCACACCTACTCTTGCTCCCACTCCCACTCCCACTCCCTAGGAGCCAGATTCGTTGCCTCATTTGGCCAAAAATGTTTAACTACCGGAAAGGGGCGTTAATCTCTCCGCTCCACTCTCCATTCACCATTCTCAACTGGCCAAGTGCCCACTCAGCGAGTGCACCGTCGATAGCGATAACGACGATGGCGATGAGGACGGCGTTGGCGTTGGCGGTACCCCAACTGAGATACCCCCGGTTGAAGAAAGATGGGGAGATGGAGGAGCGAGCAATTAAAAACAAGCCAAAGAGGCCTGTCTCGGAAACCGAAACTTCAAATACTCTTGCGGATAACAACAAAAAGGCTCCCTTACCTAATGACTTGGCTAATACCGTCCAAACCTCAGCAATCTATTAAAAAGGTACCCTTAAGGTTAAAGGCTTTAGAAGATAAGACTGTTGTAACCCTTATGTATTTCAGAAGGCTTTTTTTAAGTGAACTTCTATATAATGTTCCGTATATCGATATCAAGTTCTGGGCTCTTGATGCAGATTCTTGGATTTTCACATAAACTTAAGAAAGATTATTACTCCATTAATAAGGAATAAAAATACACACTAACTATATGTGGTAAATGGGTAAATTGGTCAATTTTATGTGACCAGAAGGAAAAGTCGTTTCTATGGATTCCCTTATAAAAGGACTATCTTGACTTATCGCAATTCAGAACGACCAGCTTAACATTTTATCAATTTTGTGATTTACAGAATTTTTAAAATGCCCTTTATTGGAATAGGGTATTGCGAGCCAGGGCATAACGATGGCCATGAGTGAGTACGAAGGCGACAACTGCGTTTGGGCGGATAAACATGACAGCATTGGGGCCGCTGGCACTTTTTCTTTGCTCTTTGTGGCAGCCCAAAAAGAAACCGAAAAAAAGATTATGTACTCTTTTTGGCCAACAGGAATGTCTTCACATCTCAATTAGGGAAGGGGACTGAATTATTTGATGCAGGCAAATTTTGTTTGCCAGCAATGCAATGGGTTGCTGAAATATAATTGGGCGCCACTTAATATCATTTCCTAAGGAATCGGATCAGAATTCCTATCCTAGCCACTTTTATGGTTCCATAATTCCAAACTAGTTCTGGTGACTTAGATGCCTGCTTGGATCACTGGAAATCCGATTATTTATAAAGTAATTCATTTTGCGTAAATATCTATATTACAAAAACCGCTTCCTCGATATAAATGGCAATATATCTATTTACAAATTTCAATTGTGGTCCCGAAATCCCCTTTGATCTCTCTAATAGTTTCTTTAGGTAGATTCCAATCCTCCTTTATTAAGCCTCGAAAGCAATGGCAAATGGGGAAAAAGAGGGAAGTGGGACTCTGAGATGTTGCAGAGGCGCCAACGGCAATGCAGCAATGGGGGTCGGAGGTGGAGGAAGTGGGCTTGGCGAAGGGGGGCCAAAAGTTACGACAACAGTCGTCGCGTCACAAACGTGGGAGCTTTTTATGAGTTTCGCCCGACAGATCCACACGGCGGCATTTGCCTTGCCACAAAACGTAGTGGGCTGTCGTGAGGGGGTGGGGGGTGGCACAGGGGCGTGGTGCAGAGGGGGTCTTCCAGGGGCGGTGGGCGGTAGGTGCTGCTGCGGTGGAGCAGCTGTGCGGTTGTAGCCAGCGGCAGCTGTTGCCGCCAATTGATTGAAATGCCGCCCGTTCATTCGACTGGGCGGTCATCTATCCCCCTCTCTCTCTGGGCCCTATCCTTCCATCTCTTTCTCGCTCTGCCTCCAAGTATTTATTGTTGTTTTTCGGTTATTTTTTGTTGTTTCATATCTTCAAGGGTGCTCTCAAAATACTTTTCTTTATTTCTTTCGGCCCGTTGTTTTTTTGTTTTTTTGTTTTCTGTGCGGTTTGGGTGAACAATTTTTATGAGAATTTTCGTCGGTTGAAAAACTTTCAATTTCGTATTTATGAAAAAATAAACGGATGGGGGAGGGGCTTACGGGGCTTTTCGGGGGCCTTGCAATTGCACTGCAAACTGTTACAAAATGGAAATTCCGTTGAAGCAAAAAGCAATCACCCTGAAGCTCCAAATGGGCCTACACAGCTATTATTTGTTGCTGGTTAGAGGATTCGGCTTAAAAGTGAAGGAGTGGGAATGATTGATGGTTTAAGCGAGGGAGGAGTCGACTGGCAGATAGACCCATTTCCTAGTTTTAAACGAAGCAGGTGAAAGATCGCCAAATTTATAGCAATTGGGAAATGAAAGGATCAGAAACCCGACCCCTTTTTAATGACGTTTGAAAGTGCAGTTGTAAAATATATCTCTTCAATTTCCAACAGTACATTTAATACCTTCATTGGCAACAATAGCTGGAGGGTTTATACATGGGTTTTAAAGGAAGACGTTTGCCTTTCATTAGAAATTGTAAGAAAGAGGGCTTGAAAATTTTAATACTTTAAGTTTCTTAACAAATGTATTGTACCTATTTTAATTAATCTAAGATTGATTCATAAGTCAAGTTCGTATAATAACATATATTAGTCCACTATATGAACTAAAACTTTAGTCAAGCTAGTTCCCTTTGTAAGACTGTGAAACTATAGTTGAAGTGATTAAATTCAAACCAGATGTTGATAAC